CTAATGTGACATTTTGTTCTTGCAGAGGCTGAGTTCAAAAATCAACTATGATGCTTTGGATAAATTAAATGAAGAGCTTGTAAGCATCTTTTATATGTCTTATTTTAGAATCAATTTTGCTTTATTCATGCTTTGCAAATCCCATATTATGTTCTGTCAACATCCAAGGTCTCGTTAACTGATGTAGAGACTACAAGTGACTAAAAGCCAATCAAATCTAATGGCACATTTAATTTGGATTGTCAAATGATGTTACTTGTTCAATATATTTTTTGTTTTCTTAATGTCTGGTTAGTGTGCAGACACCAAATTGCTGTTTAATGGAATAAAGGTATATACAAGTGTCATAAACCATGGCAAGATAGAACTTAATACGTAAAAGAATGATCAATTGTGCAGGTTGTTTACTTATTGGGCAATTAATGGGAGACTTTAAAAAATAGGAAAATCTTTCATCTTTTTATATGGTTAATAGTTTTTTTTGCCATGCAATGTAGTTCCTACCTAGTTAGAAATCCTGGTAGGTTTTAGAGAATAAAGGTGTGTTTCAGCGAGTAATTGCTAGAACCTTTTCTAATTTTTTTTCCCCATGTGTAAAATCAGGGTTATGCACCTGCATTTGAAGAAGGCACAAAGTCTAATTGTGGTAGTCAAGGTGATATGCAACTGTCAAATGAGAAGAACAGTTTTGAAGGCAGTCATGATGATGATTTTGAGCATGAAAGTAATGGATTCAGTGAAGAAGCTGAAGCCAGAAAAGGCCAGGATGATGATACGTATGTTGCAAATGACCAATATAATGGATGCAACTATGATGACGAATACAATTACGATGAGGAATGCGATTTTGACGAATTATGACTCAAATAAAAAATGATTCAGTTGTATCATGTTGCGATCAAAAGGTTAAGCAATTAAATCTTCTGGTTTTTGATAACTTTTTTGATTGGTATCAGTCTGAGGAGATGCAATTGAGCGTTGCTTGCATGTCAAACTATGTGAACTATAACCATGAGCACAAATTTGTAAATTGAAACATTGAACTATAACCAGTTTGACAACAATATTTCCCCAACATTGACAACACCAAAAGACTTCTCAATATTATATACAAGTCTGATGAAAATATGATAATTGGTTTGTATCTCAAACTGTGAATTTATATAATTCAGTTAAATTTATTCAATGTTGAAATTCTTTACATAGGAACACAGACTGAATTGTCTCGGTTCCAACTTCCAAGCTGTTTAGATTTTGCTAGCGAGAGCATGGTATGATGGCCCTGAGCATGTCTTCTTCTTCCTTAACACTGGCAACACCAACAACCTTCTAAACTCGTAAAGCCTTGGCCTCGGTTCCAACTTCCAAGCTGTTCATATTTTGTTAGCGAAAGCAAGGTACTTGGTATGACGGCCTTGAGCTATAATTTTACATGTCTTCTTCTTCCTTAACTCAACACTGGCAACACCAACTGCCTTCCAAACTCGTAAAGCTTTGGCCTCAATCTCAACTTCCTCACCAGGGTAAGCATAGGCTGCACCATGCATGAAATTGCCTCCTTTCAGCAAACGAGGGGTTACTTTGAAGGAGTAAACAATACGACCGGGTTCAAGGAGATCAACTTTAATGCCTTTCATGATAAAGGACTCAAAGAACTTGTCTGGCAGCCCATCCATTGTCATTGCCATTTCACCTTCTTTCTCCAAGAACTTCTTCACGGACTCTATACTTGTTTCCTCATTTCTCCAGAAGCCTTAGCCATCAGAGAAACAACAGATAAAAAGTCACATTCAACATCAAGGGTCCTAATACCCTTAGCCCATGCCATTTGCAAACCTCTAAGGAGACTCCATAACTTAGCCTTTGAAGGAAACATGCATTTAAATTTAAACTCATGGATTTTAAGCTACAACATACATGAATCTAACATTCAAAGAGGCAAAAACGAATTTTAGATCTTATTAAGCCTAATGCTACCAAATTCCAAGTATCTTTCTAGGTCTAATCTCACTTATGTACAAAAAAAAATGGGAGGAAAGGATGGGACTTTCTTATCCTTGAAGCTCTCTTAGATAGTCTCCAAGTTTTCACCTTTGGAAAGACCTTCTTCCTTGTTGCTTGCTTCATAGAGTCTTCACAAGGTACCAAAGTAGATACCCTCTAGTTTATACACACAAATGTAGTGTAAGAGATGAAGAAGATAACCAAAAGGAGGTGAGGTGCTAGCCCTCTCCGGTTGGTGGCCGGTTCTAGCATGGTAGAGTGGAGATTTCTCTCCTCTCAAACCCACTCCAAAGTTGGATTCTTCAAACCCTAGATAGAAAATGGTCTAAGTGTGGCTTATATAAGCCAATACAAAAGATGAAGCAAAACCCCATCCTTGTATTTTGGCCATAGTGTTTCTTGGGCTTCTCTTGGGCTCATTTAACTTATGTTGTCATACAACACATGTTCCTAAGCCCAATGGGCCCTTAGGTTATTTCACCATTTGGCCCGACATGCATTTAAAGCACAACTGATTCCAACTGTCAAACTAAATTCATAATTAACAATTTAATTATGATTTGTGACTTAATCATTAAGTCCTAACCATAGTCTGAATAGTTTGACTTGGTCAACCATTTTGGTCAAACACATTGACATTGACTTTGACCGTTAATTTTGACTGTTTGGCTAAAACTAGACGGGTAGTAAGTTGGCCAACTTAAAGATGAGGTGGATATTGAAGGTGAGGACCCTCAGTATGTAAGAGTATTCGGTAGATAAATGGACATGCATACAGAAGACAAGATATACGTGGTTCACCCGAATAATGGGCTACGTCCACGGAGAAATATGTTCTCATTACGATAATGTTGTATACAATGCACATAGGATTTGACCCATGGAGAAGAGGAAGAATACCGAAGGCTGATGGTTGAAGGCCGATGGCTGATGGCGCCGAAGGCTGATGGCCTAAGGCTGATAGCCGATGGCTGATGGCTGATGGCTGAAGGCAGATGGCGCCAAAGGCTGATGGCCGAAGGCTGAGGATTTGGCTAAAGGCCAATTATCCGTGGGCTTGTAAATGGGCTCATGGGTAAGCCCATGAGGCCCAAGTTGCCTGCCCCACTCTCTCCCCCTTTCTTGAAGGGGAGAGGTCTCCTTTTATAAAGAAGGGAGAGTCCCCTC